GAGATTCTCTATTTTTACACTCGCGCATAAGAGAAGTCTCTAACCGAGCCACATGCTCCTCTGCAGCAGTCGGCTTTCCCCCATCTCCTAGTTTAAAAACTGCTCTACAACTTTTTTTAATGTTTAGTGCCAGCAGTCTGGTTCTACTTTGGTTTAGGTGGAGCCCATCCTTCCTGTATAGGCTCCCCCCGTTCCAGAAGTTTCCCCAGTTCCTAATGAATGTAAACCCCTCCTCTCTACACCATCGTCTCATCCACGCATTGAGACTTTGAAGCTCTGCCTGCCTACCTGGCCCAGCGCGTGAAATGAAAATCAGTGGGACTTAGGCACCAAGGCATTTTTGAAAATCCCACTAGGAGCCTATCTGTATCTTGAAGTGCCTAAACCCCTTTAAAAATCTGGCCCTTCAGTACTTTTGAAAAAGTTACCCTGACAGCCTTGGCAACTAAAGTTATTCCCCAAATGCATGAAAGACTTGTGTAAATTATTAAACATTAGGAAGAGAGCATGGTCAAAGAATGAGACTGTTGGCTAGGAATTTCTGAGGTTTTTGTATTCTTGGCTCTGTTTAGCCATGGGTAAGTCACTTAACATGCTTTTTTTGGTTTTCCTATCCTATAAAATCGGCATAATAATGCTTAATTATCTGCCTCACAGGTGTTGAGGATTAATTACTGTAACTAATGTTTGTACCTTGCTTTGAAGATGTAAAGCATTATGTCAGTGCTAAATATTGTTTGAGTTTGTCTGATCAGATTCAGTGTGTGATGATGCTTCTGTGATTTGTAGGTTTGTTTAATGCCTTTGATGAAAATCGTGACAATCACATAGACTTTAAGGAAATCTCCTGTGGACTGTCGGCATGTTGCAGGGGACCCTTGGCAGAAAGGCAAAAATGTGAGTGTCCAAAATACTGCCCATTAAGCTTCTAATTTTTAAAAAATCTGATCAATTTTTGTCAATCAACTTTATTTAATTTACATATTTTTAAATCTGTACTTGAGAAGGAGATAGAGGGAGGGAAAAAACCTAGAAATTGTATCTTGAATTAAGTTTAAATACGAAGGCTTTATTTTATTAAACATGGTTAACATTTATTAATTCAGTGTATTCTTGTGAGTTACTCTGACTTCGTTCCAGCTGTAAACCTCTTCAGAATTTTTTTTTTTAAAGTTGGTATTCAGTAAGTTATTTTGGTAGTTTAATTTTGCTAACTATTCATATATACAAACTGTATTAGCACATACATGGTGCTAAAGTCTGCATTCCATTATATAGAGAAAAATGGAAGATGTAAACATTTGGACTTCCTATGAGATTTTCAGTAAATTGTGCTCATGCTAGTTTATTTTCTATTCTAATCATAGAACTGGAAGGGACCTCGAGAGGTCATCTAGTCCAGTCCCCTGCACTCAAGGCAGGACTAAGTATTATCTAGACCAGGGATCTCAAACTCAAATCACCAAGAGGGCCACATGAGGACTAGTACATTGGCCCGAGGGCCGCATCACTGACACGTTTTCATACAAAGATACAAAAGCCCCACCTCTGCCCCTGGCCCCGCCCACACTCCACTCCTTCCATGAGGCCCCGCCTATGCCCACCCTTCCCCACCTCCATTCCAACCCCTGCCCCAAATCCCCGCCCTGGCCCCGCCTCTTCTCCGTCTCCTCCCCTGAGTTCCTCATGTCACCGTTCCTTCCCCTTCCTCCTGGAAAGTCCTAAGCGCTGCCAAACAGCTGTTTGGCAGCAGGAAGCGCTGGGAGGTAGGTGGAGGAGTCAGGAGGCAGCGTGCTTGGGTGGGCGGGGGGTGAGGGGAGCTATGGCGGGCCACAGGACGGCCTGCACGCCAAGTGTTTGAGACCCCGATCTAGACCATCCCTGACAGGTATTTGTCTAACCTGCTTTTAAAAATCCCCAATGATGGAGATTCCACAACCTCCCTTGGCAATTTTTTCCAGTGCTTAACCACTCTTAACCACGCCATTGGCATGAACCAGTTTCTCTTACTGTCAATCTCATTCAACTGGCTCCTTATGAGTTTCCTGAATTTTGTGATGTACCTATGTAGGTGAAAAAATGACGGCATCTATGTAGCTTAAAAATTGCCATCAAGCTGGAAAACTACAGATTCTGAATATGTATTTGTTCCATGCCCTGTTAAGTCAGATATTAAGGAATTGGGAATATCTGAATTTCAGGTTGAGCAGAGAGCTCCTCTTCCCCACTACCACAACCAAGCAACCCCAGATTATATTGTGAAGTTTCAAAACTGTCAGTTAAGTCACATCCTTGTGACTTTGCAGGGTTTTGTCCTGCAATGAAGTGATCAAGTGCAGTAGCCCTAATTAGAACATAGTTGTCAGTTAGCTTTAACATGCAAAAATAATCGTTTTCTCCCCCCTTCAGTTTGCTTTAAGGTTTTTGACGTTGACCGAGATGGAGTTTTGTCTCGCACTGATCTTAAAGAAATGGTAGTTGCACTTTTAGAGGTCTGGAAAGATAACCGTACCGATAAGATACCTGTAAGTCATGTTTTAAGTCACCTCCTATTGTTTTCTATAGTAGCCTTTGAAAAATAGGAATCAATTTTAGGTTTCAAAGTATGAATGTTATTTGGAGACAGATGTCACTAAAACATCCTCTTGAAATGTCTGAGTTGAGGAAAGGGATTTATGCAATTGCCCTTGTGGAATTTACCCCATACTGATTCTAACAAAAGTAAAATTATTCTCTGTAATTTCTGCTGCTGCTTATGGTACAAAGAGCTATTTAGATATAAAAATATGGCTGACATGAAGACACCAAATTTTAAGCTACCCAGATACTTTATAAAAATCACTGAAAGTTGAATGTTTACTCTTTTTTCCTTCCCTCGACATGGATAGCTCTGGGATAAGGTACTAAACATTGTATTTTCTAATCCGTTTGTCAAGGAATTGGGCATGAATTTGTCTGAAATCGTAGAAAACATTTTGGATGCACATGATACCACAAAGGTGAGAACTTGATGAACTTTCCTTGATGTTTTAATAGATAACTTGAAGAGAGTCAGTCAATTGTCAGATTTTCCAACTGTATTTTCACACACATGGGAAGGTTTCTGATTGAATCCTAAAGGGTAGGAACTGATTAGCTGTGATAAAAATGAAAATACTTGGCATACTCAAATATTTCAGCTTATTTAAAAGTAATACAATTTTACAAAAAATAAAATAAACTTACCATGTTTGGCTTCAGTGCAGAGATCTGTCAGTAGTGGGTTCTCTACCAAGCAAATGTCAATTTTTCATAGCAACTTTTCAGGTACGTCTATTAGAAAAAGACTATATACTTACAAACTGACATATGAATCAGAATGTAAAATTTAACTTTAACAGAATTATCACCCTCTTATTAATTATTTTTCTATACTGGTAAAACAAAGTTTGCCTAAAGTATTGAAATGATTACTCTTCTTATAAGAGTAACAAGTAGCAAAATAGCTGTCCATCAAAGAAGGCAAACTATATTAGTAATTGGTTCATGCTTCAAGAAGGAAGGTGGTTATGCTAAAATCAGATGTGCCTATATTTGACATGGCTCATTTTCTGCATCTACCTTTCTGCTTCAGAGCAAATTTTCCAAAGTGCTGCTCCAACAAATTTCAACTGAAGTAAGTGGGGGATCTCAGTGTGAAACTTAACACTTCTGAAAATCAGGTCCAAATTTATATAATCAGCTGAAATTAATCATCCTATGCCATTATTAGAATTTACGTGTGAGTAGTGCTGCTTTAATAAACCTAATTTGTGTGTGTGTGTGTGTGTGTGTGTGTGTGTGTGTGTGTGTGTGTGTGTGTGAGA